AGAGAATGAGAGAGAGAGAGAGCACATGAGAGGTGGGAGGGTCAGAGGGAGAAGCAGACTCCCTGCCGAGCAGGGAGCCCGATGCGGGACTCGATCCCGGAACTCCAGGATCACGACCTGAGCCGAAGGCAGTCGCTTAACCAACTGAGCCACCCAGGCGCCCCGAAGAATGGATATTTTAAGGACTAGGTAGGGAGGACTTATGAATAATGGGTCAACCATTTGTATGCACGTGCACCTCTAAAGCGCTCAAGAATAGCTTGGTCTCATTAACATGGCCCTTGTAATCTTGCTTAAAATCTTAATTTTCCTTAACTAAAACTTTTCTTTTTTCACAGTTTAGGCAACAGGAAATTTTAGCTCAGGCCAATACTGATGTATCACGAATTCTAAATTTGTCAGGTCTTAATGCAATTTTGCTCTATTAATAAATGTTACAGTCAAACTTCTTTTTTAAGGGCCCTGATTACAGATTGGACCAGGTAAATGGTTACATTGAAGGACATCTCTTGGTGCCTCTGCTTTGCATGAAGTGCACTGTGGCTTTTCAGCTAGGAATCATGGTTTATATTTCCTCCACTAAGGTGAATTCTCCAAGACGGTCAGCCTTGACTTCTGCCACAGTCTCTCCCTACTGTTGAGGCGCTGCAGCCTCTTGTGATTATTACCATAATCGTTACTACATCTTCTGCAGAAATGTAGCCTAATATGTTCCAAAGCAGATCATTTTTATTTATTTATACATCTGCCTTCTATCATGCAAAGATAATTAAGAGCTAATTGTAGTTCTATCACTTAGCATTTGTTAAGGGTCTGAAACACTAGATTTTAGAGTCTGGAGCCCTGAGTTTTATCCCTTTTTCTTCCCCTCTTAGAACTTGAGACAATGGTGCAGCCACTCTCTCTCTCCATGGGCCCAGAGGTCCGGGTACAAGCCTGACATCCATCCTCTCAGGTTATGAGAGAGAGAGGGTTAATGTTTCTCACTCTGAGTTCTTTGACTAAGAGGTGGTGGATGAATAATTATATCACAAGAATATTTCCTCCTCCACACACAGATGTGAGGAGTAATGACTATGAATTAAGCCATGTGTTGTTAGAGTGAAGAAAGCATCTGTTAATGGCCACCACCAAGGGGAAGACCATGCAGTGATTGCAGAGTGTCAGTTCCTAGCCCAGAGCAGTCAAGCAGAGGTCCCTGTATGGGTTCACCTGGCCATGAGCACAGCCTAGCACATAAGATGAGACTGAAGATCAATCAAAATTCCCATCCCCTCTGAACACAGACCACTGAATCCATCCTTAAGAAACCTGCACTAACCTTCAGAGGTATCTTCACTCCCCAACTCTCTTTAAATTCTTGACCTTTCTGTCGGATCAGGCAATTGGTATCATTAGTTTATTTTTAGATATAAATGTATGTCTGTTTGATGAATAAACTTGACATCGAAAAGAGAATGCCTTGGTGATGGGGAAAGACTGGAGCTGTTAGTAAAGGCCAAGCTTCCCCTTTCCAGATGAGTAAAGTCCAATTTCTCCATCTCTGATACAAATACTTCCCATCACTGTGATTCCAGCTTGTGTCAAAAGGTGCCGACCTAAAAGAAGCTGGCATGTGTACATGGTGTGACAGGCTCAATTCACCGGACTGGAATCAGAGAGCCAGGGTTCTTGCCTTAGCTCTGGCAATCACTCACGGTGACCTTGGCCAAGCCCCTCTGCCAATCTGAGCCTCAGCATCCTCATCGGTAACATGGAGACAAGGCTAAACAATCTCAGAAGTCCTTTCCAATTAAAACACTACATTGCTGTATAACACTTTTCTCCCCAAAAGTTCAAAATGCTTTGTAACCTTATTTATGCACAACATAAGCCAAGACCAAGAGATCTCCATTAAGTAGAAAACCAAGTGGGACAAATTTCTCAAGATGGTCTCTTACTGTCCAGAGCTAGTTTATGGGCTTAAAAGAGCTGGTTCAAAGTATTTCTGATAATGGAAAGATAACATGGGTGAAAAACCTCTCCCCTCTGAGTCTTGGCAGAGTCCTTGGCATCGTATAGGACGCAGGGGTTGCCACGTTTCAAACAAACATTTGTAAAAAGTCCTTGACCTGGTGGTCGCTGAAGCTCTTGGACATTTTTTTCTTATAAAAGGTTGGCTCCAGCGTCGGAAGACAGATTATCTTCTGCTGATGTAAAAATCCCTTCTAATGCCACCTGTGTCCTGAGCGGTCCCTCTCACAAATCTCCCCCTAGAGTTTGACTGAGCCAGCCCACCCGCCCTGTGATGGGCAGGCACTCACATCCCCTTTCCTGCCCCAGTGGAACTCCAGCATCACTGGATGCAGTCAGCCCGGGGGGTGGGGACATCGTCACCATGTAATATACAACTTGGATTCGCCCCGATCTCTAGGCATGAGGATGATGTTCAGCACTTCAAGGTCATGAGAGACAACAAGGGTAATTACTTCCTGTGGACAGAGAAGTTTCCGTCTCTAAATAAGCTGGTGGACTACTACAGGACGACTTCCATCTCCAAACAGAAGCAGATCTTTCTGAGGGATAGAACCCGAGAGGATCAGGTATGCCTCAGGCCCCGATCAGCCCCAGTCTGCAGATTTTAGGCAGCATGAGTCCTATATGATCCATCAAGACAATGCATTTGATGATATGTCCCCTGAGTATTCTGGAAGACAGAATAAGTCCAAGGTCAGACCTCAGTTAAAATCATCTTCTAACACTTCCCAGCCATGTGATTTGGGAAACTTGTCTGATCCTGTTTCCTGATCCATAAAACTGGAGCAATGTGATACCTAGCTCATAGATGGTGGTGAAGGTTAGAGAAGATAACATATCCCCTTCCCTGGCGTCCCTCCTAGAAGTGCTACAAGCATGCCACAAACATTAGCTCTTAACAGTGGATGCTTTGTTACTATAGATATTAGTACATCGCGGTTTCAGCCTAGCTCAGGAGTTGCCCAAAGCTGAAGGCCAGGGGGCCCCACGCGGGGATGTTGGAGAGCAGCCTAGAGTCCAAGACTAAGGTAGCAGGTAGAGCCTTGCCACAGACAGGGAGGTTGGGGCTGTTGGAGGAAAAACTGGACCTGGAATTCTTGCTCTTGGAACAGTGTGGAAAACAGAGTATTATTTTACTAGAAAATGCATCAGACAAACCTAGCTCTTTTTTTTTTAAGATTTATTTATTTATTTTAGAGAAAGAGAGAGCGCTCAAGAGTAGGGGGAGGGGCAGAGGGAGAGAGAAAGAACCTCAAGCAGACTCTGAGCTGAGCATGGAGCCTGACGCAGGGCTCAACCCCACGACCCTGAGATCATGACCTGAGCTGAAACCAAGAGTCCAAGTTAAACCTTTCAGAGTATCAGATTTCTCATCTGGAGAATAGAGAGAATACAATACCTCCCTGCCTGGGCTGTTGTAAGGATTAAATGAAATAATATGGTGATAGCACTTGCCATAGAATCTGGACAATAGTAGGCACCAAGGAAATGCTAACGTGCCTCCCATAAGAAAATTCACACACACACACACACACACACACACACACAATGTATAAAATACCTTTCAAAGGAAACAACATCGTTAAAAGAAAGAGATGGGTATTCTAGAAAGAAGTATTCTCTGGAGTAGTTAAAATAGTTGAAATCCCTGGAACAAGTTATTTGAAAAGGCATTGAGGCTTTCAAATCAACAGGTGCTCTGGAGAAGTAGAGAAAACCATTTCAGGGAACTGGTTGATTGTAAGCCTGAGAAGTGACAGTCCTAGGAGAAAAGGGCATACCAGCAAGTGCACATAAAAGTTCAGAAAGAAAAACAAAGGTTAACTAAGACTTTGTGAATTATTTTAACCAAGAAACAGAGGTATTAATTTAGCAGGATGTGCATGCAGAGAGAAAAGAGGTAGCGTAAAATGCATTAAACTGGGGAGCGCCTGGGTGGCTCAGTCAGTTAAGCGTCTGCCTTCGGCTCAGGTCATGATCCCGGGCTCCTGAGATCGAGCCCCGCATCGGGCTCCCTGCTCGGCGGGGGGCCTGCTTCTCCCTCTCCCACTCCCCCTGCTTGTGTTCCCTCTCTCGCTGTCTCTCTCTCTGTCAAATAAATAAATGAAATCTTTAAAAAAAAAAAATGCATTAAACTGGATTAAACGAGTTCATATTTGTAAAGCACTTCGAACAGCGCCTGGCATGTATGAAGCCCAGGCCCTGTGTAACTTGTTTGTGAAATAAAAATAACGAGAAAGTACCTCGAGTCACACGGTCGTGGTACCATTAAGCAGAAAGGCCGTGCTCCTTCCCAGCGTGCCTGGCGGCAGGCCTGGTTTCCATGGTGCCACAAGAGGGCTGCTGTCTGGGGCTCTATCACCAGGCTATAAGTGACAGTTCAAAATCAGGCAAAGTCAATGGCCGAGCTTATCGGGAGGGTAGGATGTCCGGCGGTGGGGCAACAGGCGATAAGGAGGGGTGGCATTGTGTCAGTAAAATAGAATATTGAAGCTTGATTGCAGAGAGGAAAACAAGCCCACTAGGAAGGGACTCGATGCGTAGCCCGTGGAAAGTGAACCAGAGACCCGGAGTCCCCAACCCGGGAGAATCTGAGAACGTGGAGACCATTTCTGCAACCACGAGAGGCCGAGACATCGGCTCTCTTGAGGCTGCCCGCGGGCCTTCGGCTGTCTCTTGGAGAGGTGGTTGGGCAAACTGCCAGAAAGCGGGGCGTAGGGGGGTGGGGGGCCGGGAGATGCGGGAGGAGGGTGGATCTGCATCATCTTCATCATTCTCTCCCAGGGTCACCGGGGCAACAGCCTGGACCGGAGGCCCCAGGGAGGCCCACACCTCAGTGGGGCTGTGGGAGAAGAAATCTGGCCTTCGATGACGCGGAAGCTGTCGGGCCGCCCAGCGCCCCCTCCCTCGCAGTGCCCCCCAGCGCCCCCAGCACAGCAGCAACGCTACCTGCAACACCCTCATTTCCACCAGGTACCTCAGAGGAATGGAGTGGGCGCCGTGAGGTAGGGAAGAGGACCTGCTCTCCTCAGCCCAGGGCTCAGGCCAGCCTGTCCCCATGGCCACTGAGCACGTGGAAAACCCCCACAAAGCCAGATGCAACCAGAGCAAACAAAGGCTTGGGGGGCTGTTGTGGTCCTGGGACCGTGGGGAGGAGCATCTCAGGCCCGGCCTCGTGACGGCTCGCAGAGTTCGTGAAGAAGACCCGGGACCTCCCAACTGGCAGCAATATGATAAAATGATATGGGAACTGCTCTTGGCACAGAAGTCCCTGCGAATTCATTGGCTCCCTGCCTGAACACACGCACGCACGCACACGCACACACACACACACACACATACACACAGTGAGCCGTTGCTTCGTTTTCCTGTCAGCGCACTTCCAAATCTATTCATGCCCCTTAACCCATCTGGCTGTGGAGATCCACAAGAAAAACGGATTAACACCGGCAACAGAGCCTTGCTTATTTATTTATTTGTCTCCTGCCTTGCTCCAGATGGGATTTGGGGCCGCTTACCGAGATGGACAATACAGCCAGATGACATCATTCCTAAATTCCTTAGTAGGGCACACAAAGCCCTTTGTGAGCTGCCCATATCTGTTTCCCCAGCCTCATCTGCTGCTGCCTCGCCCTAAACCCACCCCCCTCCGACCCTCCACCTCCCCCACTCCCTGAGCAAACACACATTCCAGCAACACTGCACTATCTTTAGTTACCAAAACGGTCAATTGTGTTTTCTCTCATAACCTGGGGGCTTTTTATATGCTATTTCCTTTGCCTAAAATGCCCTTTCCTGGCTGATCCTTCTCCTCCTCTAAGCTACAGTTCAAGTATCACCTCCTCTAGGAAGACTTCTCTGATTACCCTGGCAGACTTAGACCTTCTCTCAGCTCGCTTATCACTTAAATGTGTATGGTTCCCCCTCTAAACTGACGATCCACGAAGACAAGGCCCTTTTCTTTCCGGCTACATATCCCCAGTGATTAGGACAGTACTAGACACATGGCAGGTGCCTGATAAATATTCTTTGAATGAATGAAATCTGGCATTGTCTTCACAGTCAAAGGTCCCTTTGCCACCCTTCCCCCTTTCTCCCACCCCTGGGGTTTATCAGCAGCAGCACGTGTTCTTGGAACACTGGGGCTGTGTCTGTGGCCTCTGAGCAAGGCAGCGGGGGGCCTGCCGGGGATGTGGTGTGGTGACAGGTCCTCTGTTGCGTGTGTTTCCAGGAACGCCGAGGAGGCAGCCTTGACATAAACGATGGGCACTGTGGCATTGGCGTGGGCGGCGACACGAACCCGGCCCTCATGCACCGGAGACACACAGACCCCGTGCAGCTCCAAGTGGCCGGGGTACGTGAACTTTCCCTCCCTGGGCTCGATGAAGGCAGCCAGAGGGGCACTTAGAGAAATGGTTGGTCCTCCAGGGCAGAGGCGAGCCGCTCAGAGCTCAGAATGGAGGTGGTGGGAGCCCAGCGAGCCATGGGGGGAGGAGTTCCCGGGCAGGGCCGATGCCGGTCTGTTGTTCTGTCTGGCCGCCGGGCCTTGCCCCGTCCTCATGGTTTTTGGCTCTGGCTCTGGCCGAGGGAGATCTGTTGCCTTTTTCCTCGTGCCGCATCGGCCTCGGCTGCGCTAGCACGGAGGGCTGTTAGTTTGGGCACGCTGCCATCCTGTCACCTGGAGAGAGTGAAAAGACCACCTAGTGATGTAGGGAGAGTAGCTGTCAAGGATTCTCCTGGGGCCTCAGAGACTAACATCTCTGTCGGTGAAAGTCCTGAGTCTCAAGAGCGGCTCGGCTGAGTTCTGGTAACTCCACGCCCCGGGCTGTGCAGTGGGGTCTGCTGCCCGTCACAGTGGGGTTCGGGAGGTCTCCGGAGAGCCAGACGTCCGCCTTCAGGGCAGGCTGCTCACCGAGGACTTCGTCTTGCTGCGGGGGCCAGCAGGACCCCTCCTGCGCCACAGCGGCTCCGAAGGCCCCCCGGCCCTGGCTCAGCGGGCCCCTTCTGTGCTTCCCCCGACAGCGAGTGCGGTGGGCCCGGGCGCTGTACGACTTCGAGGCCCTCGAGGACGACGAGCTGGGGTTTCGCTGTGGAGAGGTGGTCGAGGTCCTGGACAGCTCCAACCCGTCCTGGTGGACTGGCCGCCTGCACAACAGACTGGGCCTCTTCCCTGCCAACTACGTGGCGCCCATGATCCGATGAGGCCCTTCCGGGGGGTCAGAGGCTTTTGTGTGAAGCTGCCTGCAGGAGAGGGGGCAAGGAAGAGAAGCGGGAACTATCCACGCATACGGATATATGTGTGTACGCGCACACGCACGCCTACGCCTCTGTGTACACGCATTTTCTAATAGTAATTTATTGGCGATTTCATTGGTTACTTAGTTGATATGAAAGGAAGTCAGGTGAGAATGATATTCATCCTTGTTTTTCTGCTCCCCTCAGCGGTGTGTGGAAGGCAGTGGGAAAGCTGGCTGGTGGGGAGGGGCAGAGACATGAAACGCAAATTCTTCCCGCCCCTAAGATGGCCCTGCTTCCTCCTGGCCTGGGGAATGTTCACCAAGAGTAACCCAGCGGAGAGCCACACCCCGGGCTTGGACGAGGAACCACAGGGTGGGGCTGGACTCGGTGGGGCATGTTTGAGCTCACCTCCAAGCCCTACTCACCTTGAGGGTTTGCAGGGCAGCTTCCCTCCTGCTCTGCAAGGGTGGGCACTGCTGGGTTGAGAATAAAGGTGCCTCCCCACAGGGCTGAGCTGGGAGCAGGAAGGGCCAAGAAGGCGGGACTGGACTGGAGCAGCAGGTGTTGCGAAGCCTGGGCAAGGCTGGCTTCACCTCCCTCCAGTGAGTGTTCCTCGGCTAGTCCTCTTCCCCGAGGCTGACCTGGAGAAACGGAGACCCCGAGGAGCCAAGCACTGGGAGACGGAGGGATTTTCACAAATCCCCAGTGGCTTACTTGGGAGTAACCTCTGTTTCCCGGGATACCAAGAAAGCAGCGTCTGAGACTCTGTAAAATGCTTAGAGAAGCCCCGGCTGAGAAAGCTGGATTTTAGAGCCATTATTTTATGGCGACAGGGTGTCTCTTTGGGTCTCTATTTGTTTCCCCATGTTTTGAGGATGCTTGCCCAGTGGCACGGAGAGCAGCCCGCTCCACAAGAGCGTTGATTCGCTATTGTTGATGGGTTGATTGATTGGCTGAGCATGACCCTGGGTGGGAGCCAGCTTTGCAATGAGCTTCCTGTTGGATTTGGCTGTTGAGCCACTGCTGACAGCCCCCCCCCAACACACACACCCAATACCTGCATGTGGGGCCGCTATCTCTCCTGCCACCTCACAATAGAATTGTGTTTCCCTTGGGGGTGTGGGTGGGGACTGGCCAGGCTGGGGAGCAGAGACACCAGAGAAGGAAACTCAGTGTTTTGGTGGAGGCCGGGAGCAAACACGTCTGCACCAAGGGCCCTGAGAAGAGGGTGTGTGTGTGTAATGAGACCGAAATGAAAGGGTGGGGTACCCATGTTGGTGAGGGAGCATGGAGGGTGAGGTGGGCTCGTTCCTTTGTCTTCTCCCCCAGCCCTTCCTGCTCTAAGGAGTGACGGCGGCAGCCATTATGGAGGGTGATAGGAGAAGAAGAGTTTCTACTCAGAAGTAACTGTCAGTGTGATGTAGGCTGTGTCCCTTTGACTCTGAATTCTATGATTCTGTGATCCCTGTGTTGTCTTTAGAGAGGAAGGGAAAAAGAAGGCGCTCTGTGGTGAGTCTTGGGGGGGAAGAGAAAATAGCCCTGAGAGGCGGGGGGAGTCGAGCGAGAGTGAGGAGGGTCTGGCACGCAGCCTTTAGAAATGACAGCACGGAAAGGGAAAGGGGGCAAAGACATTTCAAAAGATCAAGGAGCAGCGTGAGAGGGACAAAGGGAGGGAGAGGAGGCAAGACGTTAAGTGGGGCAGGTGAGGAAGACATGGGAGTAGGAGTCAGCGAGCAGATAAGCACGGGAAGGAGGGACGGAGCAGGTGCGGAAGGAGGAATTAGAGCAGAGACGTGAGCGCTGGGGAAGGCAGGGGCGAAGGCACCACGAGGATGAAGACAAAAGAGCAGGGAGAAAGAAAAGCAAGGCAAAGAAGACCTAAAAGCTATTTTGGTGCTAGGTAATGTGAACACGTTACAGTAAATAAAAGCCAAAAGTGATGTTTGATTTTACAGTATTTACAAACCATATGCTTTAAACAGCCCACAAACCTCATCCATTTGTCTGATTATGTGGGAGGACCAGCCCCAGTGAAGAGAGAGGGAAATAATTTGGTTCTGGCCTGGATTTCGTGCCTTGAAACACTTCTCAAGAAAGCAGTGATAAGTGCCCATGTTTTGCCAGGCCGCATGTCGTGTCTGTGGGAGCGGGGCTCACTCACTGGTCTGGGGAGGCCTGCCACACAGTGTGCGCAGAGCTTCTGAAACTCCTGGAGCTGGCTGTTCTGTTCCACCCCAGGCCGTCCTGGGAGTCTGTTGCTAAACCAGCCTTGTCCCTGTGCATCACGTGGCTCAATTCAGGAGGACGCAGGAATCACCCTAACCACCCACGGAGAACTGGGGCCCTTCGGGACCAGGCTAAGAGGAGAAGGACCGAACTGTCCACACTTGGGGGTGTTGGGAAGCGGCTTGCTGGGCCTCTGGTGCTGCCTGGAGGAGCACGTGGGGAGCTGCTTTCCACCGGGCAGCATTTCAGCGCCGGGGGCGTGTCCACCCAGCGCTCCTCCCAGCCACACAATCCACACAATCCCAGAAACAGCACAAATGTCTCTGACTTCAGCTGAAACCGCTCTGCATGACCTGAGGGCAGGGAACTTCCAGAGAAAGTCGGTTCCTGTTGAACCGGTTCAGTTTTCCTAAGCACTTGCTGAGGCTCGCTGCAATGTGAAATCTCTGGTACCTGCCATTGCCCACCCACTTTTAGATGGCCTCAGGGTGATCGAAGGCAGTGCTCCTCAAAATTCAGTGCCTATGGATTGCCTGGGGAATGTGTTAAAATGCAGATTCTGATTCAGTCCTGCGTGTCCGCCACTCTCTGAGGTGATGTTCCTCGGTCAGCGGACCAGACTTTGAGTAGCAAGGGCACAGAACTTGACAGGGAGCTAGAGAGCCACAAAAATCAGATGAGATCCCTTTTCTAGGGATCTTCAGGCACTTTCCTCTGTTGCTCACGAATGAGACATGATTCAGAACCGCCAGTATGACATCATCCACACTTGCCGGCCCAGGTGACCAATTTCAGGGCCTCCATCTCCATCAAGAATCAAGAAACTTTAGGACGACAAGCATTCAGATAAAATACACACAGGGGTTTCCCAATGGTGATTATTTTAAAGATAAGCAGAGGTTACAGAAGTTGTGAAAGCTTTCTCAGGAAATCTATAAACATAAAATGCACTGGAGTCAGGTGTGGTCCTGCTCGGAGGCGAGGGAATGGCCCATGTCACCGGGGCACCGTTAGATCAACTAACCTCGAGCAAAACAGGCCACAGGCGGGACAGATTGGCCTGGGCGAATACTTGCTGTTGGCCTTGTCTAAAGTTAACGCTTCAGCCCGTATGTACGAAAACAAGGACAAGGGGAAAACATGTTGTCTTGGTTCTTTTAAATACTTCTCCGGTTCCTCCACGTCTCTCCATCACCACAACCGTGCCATCATATCTCTTCCTTGGCGACCAATCGAGCCTGGACACGCTTCTCCCAGCATACCGTCTTGTCCCCAGTCCATTCTCCACACAGATGCCAGGGCGATCCTTGTACAACACCAGCCTGATCACGTCACTCCCCCGCCAGCCACCGCACTTGGATTTGAATCCAAGGCCCCATGTGGCCGTGTGAGGTCTGGCCCTGCCTCCCTCTCCGGCCTCCTCTGTGCCTCTCCCCTCCTTGCTGCCACGCTCCCACCCACTGGCCTTCTCTCAGCCTCCAGATTGGTTCCCATAGCCTCCATACCTGTTGTTCCCTCTGCCTGCCTGACTCCTATGCATCTTCAGGTCTCAGTTTAAATGTCACTTTCTCATATTATCCTTTCCTGACCCTAATCTAAAAGAATCCTTCCCGTTGGACTACCTGGTGGTTCCTGGTGCTTTTCCTGAACAGCGCATAAGCTGGTCTGCTGGACTATTAGACTGTAAGCTCCCTGGGGGCAGGGATCATCTCTGTTTTGTGAACCATCGTCTGCCCAGCATGTGTTTGGCACACAGAGGCTCAACAAATATTTGTTTAATGAATAAGCAAATGAAACTGTCTCATGTCACCTATCATTCATTCTGAAACCCAAAGGTCCCAGGCCTTAGGGACCCATAGGTGCAAACAAGGTGATATTAACATTGATGCCCAAGTTACAGTAGCTTTCAGCCGCGTGCCCTCAAGATCTCCAGCTACTTTGAGAGTCCAAGGCAGTGAGGCTGGTATCTCCCGTGTGTTTAAGAACCAGTCGGCTAATGCCTCCTACTCTGGCCACGTTCCATCGTCCCCGAGCATCCTCCACTGACAGCAACTTCCCTGATGCTGCCAACCCGCTGGGGGTTGCATCTGTATGTTGATGAAATGCCCCGATCCTTCAGGAAACCAACTCTGCCCTGCAGTCCATGTGGCCAGGGGGTTGAGGAAGAGGAGGGGTGGAGAATGGCCTGTACTCAGTTCTGAGTCACCCCTGTCCCTGGGCCCCAGAGAGGCACTGCCTAGGTCAAGGTTCTCCCACAGCTCATTCCCTCCTCACCGGAGCCATCACAAAGGACAGAGGAAGTCCCTTCCCCTCCAGCTCTCTTGTTTGTCTCTCTCCCTGTTGCCCTTCCTCCTTCCGCTGGAAAGAAATGCTCTTGTACCTCTCTGTGCAATAGATACTACCCAGGGTGCCAGGGGGATGTGCACCCTGTTGAACACTCTGGGCTCGGCTGTAATTCATTCATTAAGTCAACGACTATTTACAAAGCACCTCGTAGAGGCCAGACGCAATGAGCCAGTGGGTCATCCACGTCTCCCTCCTGCCCCTGCATCTGTGCCACGGTCACCACCTCATTTCAGGCCTCTCTCCTGTCTCTCCCCCTGCAACTGCAACAGTCTCAGAACCGGTCTCCCCGCCTGCCTCTGGGCTGGCTGGCCCCTCCGATCCAGCCCACTGACTGCCAGAGAGACCTTATTAACATGCAAAGCTGATGACATCAGGCTTCTGTTCAAAAGCCTCCAGGGGCTCCCACTGGCTTTCAGGCTAGAGTTTAAACTCCCTGCTTGGCAGTAATGCCATTTTGCGATCTGACTGCTGCCTGTTGGTTCAGCCACAACGCCCATCTCCCCCCAGAATGAGTCATGTTGTCTCAGAGCGCTGAGTCTTTCCATCCGGTTCCTTCTGCCTGGAATGCCTTTCCCCCATTTTTTTGGTCTAGATCAGTGTGGTCCAATAGCACATTCTATGATGGTGAAGGGAAATTTCTCTATCTGCTCTGTCCAATGTGGCCGCCTCCAGCCACTTGTGGCCACTGACTGCTTGCAGTGTGGCTAGTGTGAGTTCCAACAGCGAGATGGGGCAAGTGGCTACCTTACTGGGCAGTAGGGATCCAGGCAACTGCTACTCACTTTGAAATACTTAGCTCAGGGCTCAAGTTCTCCACTGGGAAGCCATCCCAACTTCATGGCTGCTGTAGATGTCCCTCCTCCATGTTCCTCTTGCATCCTTGTTCTGCTTCCATCCCGATATTCAGAACTCTGTAGTATAGTCGGTGATCCACTGAGTCTGCCTCCCCCACGGGACTGAACACTTTTGAGCGCACAAACAGTTCACCCTATAAATGGTTGATGCACGTGTGCATTGGTGTGCTGGTAAATGTTGAACAACTGCCCTCTGAAGGAAAGCCCCAATTGTCACATTTGCCAGTTCTGTGATGTAAATATTCCTACCGTGCATCAAGGTAATGAAAAGACAAACCACAGAAGGGGAAAAGATAATTGCAAAAAGCCTACCTGATAAAGAACTGTTATCCAAAATAAAGAATTCTTAAAACCCAACGATAAGGAAATGAACAACCCAACTGAAAAATGGGCAAAACGCCTGAACAGATACCTCACTGAAGAAGATAAAAAATCACAAGTAAGCACATGAGAAGATGCTCAACATTACATGTCATTAGGGAAATGCAAATTAAAACAATGAGATACCATTACACAGCTCTTAGAAAATCCAAGGACCAAAACACTGACAACACCAAATGTTGGCAAGGATGTGGAGTAACAGGAATTCTCATTCACTGCTGGTGGGAATGCAAAATGGTACAGCCCCATTGGAAGACAGTTTGGCAGTTTCTTACAAAACTAAACATAGTCTTAACATATGATCCAGCAATCATGCTTCTTGGTATTTACCCAAAGGAGCTGAAAACTTATGTCCATGCAAAAACCTGTACATGAATGTTTATGGCTGTTCCATTCATAATTGCCAATACTTGGAAACAACCGAGGTGTCCTTCAGTAGGTGAATGGATAAATAAACTGTGGTCCATCCAAACAATGGAATATTCTTCAGTGCTAAAAAGAAATGAGCTATCAGGGCACCTGGGTGGCTCAGTTGGTTAAGTGTCTGCCTTCTGCTCAGGTCATGATCCCAGGGTCCTCGGATCAAGCCCCGCATCGGGCTCCCTGCTCAGCAGGGAGTCTGCTTCTCCCTCTCCCTCTGCTCGTGCTCATGTGCTCTCTCTCTTGCTCACTCTTGTCCCTCAAATAAATAAATAAAATCTTAAAAAAAAAAAAAGGAATGCTATCAAGCCATGAAAAGACATGTAGAAACCTTAAATGCCTATCACTAAGTGAAAAGCCAATCTGTAAAGGCTACATACTGTATGATTCCAACTATGTGACAATCTGGAAACAGCAAAACTATTGAAACAGTAAAAAGATCAGCAATTGCCAAGGGTGAGGTGAGAGGGAGAAAAGAAGAGGTGGAACACAGAAGATTTTTAGAGCAGTGAGATCATTCTCCATGATACTATAATGGTGGCCACAAGTCATTACACATTTGTCAAAACTCAGAGAATGTACAATACCAAGAGCGAACCCTGAGGTAAACTATGGGCTTTGCGTGATAATGATGTGTTGATAAGGGTTCACCAAGTGTAACAAATGTACCACTTGGGTGGGGGATGTTGATAATGGGGGAGGCTGTGCATGTGTGGGGACAGGGA